GTGAGTAAAGCGTATAGCTGGTGTGCTTGTTTTTATTGGTGTTATTATGTAATTTTTGGTGTGTGTATTTATTGGTGTATGTATTTATTCATCAGTGTGTGATTTATCATTACACACTTCTTTTATAAATGAGCTACAGACTCAAAGTTCCTCAGGATGACCTTTCCATCAGTCGCTGAAGTCCTGAGCACTTTCATACTCCATAATTACTGAGAGACACACAAATGATGACATAAGATGACAGTTTCAGCGAGGCTGTGAGACTTACAGAAACACATCTCTTGTCAGATCTCGACTGTGTGCTGCTTCCAAAAACCAGCCAATCCACAACAACACTGAAAACACCACAAACCACGACTCCTCACATCAGTCTGTGCTGATACTTCAGACATATCATTCATAAAGAAATACCAGAACAAATGCCTAGCAACCACTCACAACATCTTAGCAACTCACTAGCAACTATTAAGAACACCTTAGCAACAGCTTATTGAATCCTGTGACAGCGGTCGGGCCGCCGGAGAGTTTTTCCACAGGTGTGACTCACATGTGATGAACACAGTAAAGCTGTAGTGTGTAAAGAGTCACTGAGCTGCTGTTTTCCTGTACAGGTTGATCCCTGAGAGCATTCTGATAATCTCTAACAGCAGATGAACCGCTGCAGCTGATCTCTGACGGCCCGTCATCCAGCGGAGCGCCAGCGCTGTCAGATTTTAGGACGCCCCATTCATCATATTGGGCTCTCTCTGCTCTCCACCCGGAGGGAGATGGTAATTAAAGCCAAAATGGCAAATGATGCTTGGCTAAGCACAATTACAGACAGCACTGCTGCTAAATTTAGAGACCATCTTCAGCTAAAGGGGCCATTTACTGCGACGGCTGCGCTCACAGCGGTCCGCCGCTGCAATAAGATGAGCTGGTGTGTCGGCTCAGGAAATTAGAGCGTTTTGTAGGGCAGTTGAACAGGCTATAGCGAGGCAAAATAGACACAAAATGTCACCTTTCCACATCGGTCTCGCCCCCCGGTGCTCAAAAACGAGCATTCTGTCTTCATAGCGCGTAAGGAGGAGTGGGAAATTAGGCTGTGCTCGCTGTGCTCACGGAGCGCTCCCTTCCCACACAAACCCCTCGCTCCTTAATCTCTGGGGCTTGTCCACGGCATAACGCTGTGGGATAATTCGCCGTTATCCGACAGAGAGGGACGGAAAATAAGGTGCTTATGAAAATTAATGATGCTTCTCCCTTTGGCTTCTGCCAAGTGGCGTTTTTAATAGGTGAAAGCTATAAAAGATTCAGTGAATTGAAGACAGGAGGAGCCATTGTCTGGCAGAGGAGGATGCGTTATATAATCTGCTCGCTGTTGTCGTGTGGATGCGGAGCCAGCTTCTCGTTTCTGCACTGGCATGAGAAATCTATGGACGCCTGTTCCCGCCACGGAATAAAAACCGTCCAAAAAAGCTACCTTTCATCTCTCAAGTCTGACTTTTTTCATGCAATTCTTTTTTCTTGCAATTGCGAGTTTACTCTGACTTTTTTTCAGAATTGTGAGAAACAAACTCGAGATGTAAAAAGATATAAAGTCCAATTTTGAGGGAAAAAGGCTTATATTGTCTTGCAATTACAAGTTTAAAACTCGCAATTATGACTTTTTTCTGGACGCCTGTTCCCGCCACGGAATTAAAAAAAAAAAAGTAATTGCGACCTTTTGTCTCACAATTCTGACTTGTTTTCTCAGAATTGTGAGATATAAAGTCAAATTCTGAGGGGGAAAAAAAGACTGTGACCCTGCAGCACAAAAGCAGTCTTAAGTCGCTGGGGTATATTTGTAGCAATAGCCAACAATACATTGTATGGGTCAAAATTATAAATTTTTCTTTTATGCCAAAACTCATTAGGATATTAAGTAAAGATCATGTTCCATGAAGATATTTTGTAAATGTCCTACCGTAAATATATCAGAACTTAATTTTTGATTAGTAATATGCATTGCTAAGAACTTCATTTGAACAACTTTAAAGATGATTTTCTCAATATTTAGATTTTTTTGCACCCTCAGATTCCAGATTTTCAAATAGTTGTATCTCAGCCAAATATTGTCCTATCATAACAAACCATACATCAATGGAAAGCTATTTATTCAGCTTTCAGATGATTGACCCTTATGACTGGTTTTGTTGTCCAGGGTCACATATTTTCTTAAAATTAAAAGTCCTTCATGTAATCCTCAGGCTGGATGGCACTGGAGATGATGTTCCTCCGGCTGACAGTGGTCAGAATGCTGTTACACAGTGTGCTGGAGATCAGCTGGACTCACAGTGAATTACAGGTGACACGATTGACAACAATCTGCTGCCAGGACACAAATCAAACGAGATGCTGAACATCTGCAGAGCATGTGGGACGTGGAGATGCTCATTTCTGACTCCAGAATGCAGTGCTATCATAACCTTTAGACCTCTCACTGACGAGCACACAGCTCACCTTGAAGGACTCCATGTCTGAGAGCAGGCAGGCGCTCTGCATGCGGGCGCGGAGGTGCGCTCCTTCAGCCGACGTGCCCAGTTTGGCCAGAACCTCCGACTGCTCCTCCAGCAGGTCTTCAGTCATGGGCGCGGGCTCCTGCGGCACACACACAAACACAGTTACCAGCAGCACAGTACAAGCACGATTCACTCGGTTTCACGGATGAAAAATATGATGCAAAAACGGTCATTTACATTTATGCATTTAGTGGACTCTTTTACCCGAGCACAACAGCCAGACAGTAAACGGCAGTGTGCAATGCCATGTTTATTAGACAGCAAACTAGAGCAGAAGAGAAATGCATGTTTTGTTTTGTTTTCCAGTGCAATCCTAACAACATCTCGATTAGGCAGAAACCCCTGTGAGAGTTACTCCACTCATCTGCTCTCTCACGACAGGCTTATTCAGTCACACACAGTGCATTTATTCAGCGAAATGCTCCTCAAGAGTTGTTTTTTCTAGCCGACTCTCTAGTTTATGGTCATTGAATGTCTTTCCTGACATTACTGTTCACAGGCTGTTTTATTGACATCTTTCTGCGGTTGAATCACTGATTGATTGATTCCATGATTGAGTTGTTCTGTTTCTTCTGATGTTCGTTCGTGTTTATTTGCTGCTGTAACTAGTAGTAAAGAGGACGAGATGATCGCTTCACTATCCAGCATCTGTCATTAAAGAGCAGCAAAAACACATTCACTGACTGAATTTAGTGATAAAATGGACGGACTTTGTTTCATAACAGAAGTAACAAAGCACAAAACGTAGAGTGATTGCTAGATGGCAGGCGCTAGAAATGATGTTTAGTGAATTTTTGTTCAACTGAAAACAGCACAGACTAAAAGACTGATTTTGGGTTCAAATGATTCAATATCGGTTCATCAAGATAATGAGCGCTTAACAACAAAAATCGATCCAGCACTAGTGTTCACACAGCTATTGTAGTTTATCCATGTCGTGAGCACAAAACAGATGCTAATACATTCATGTTTCGGTCAATGTCTGATTACTGAAATTTCGGTGCATCACTAAGAGCGACACTTAACCAGAACAACAATTAAGGTATGACGAGCTGAGACTCATTAGACGTCAAGTGCCATGGATGTGATACTAACACACGGACATGATGAAGATGATGATGATGAAGACACAGGTCAAATGTGAGAATATACAGACAGACTGAAACACTGATTTATGTTTCTACCTCCGTAACCCACGCCCCCCTTTTTTTTGGAAAGCGCAAAAACATTATCAACCAAATATAATTGGTTGAGCAAATGATATGGGCTCATTACTCAGTGTTTAAGTAGGCCTGCTTGGTGTTTGCTTTTAAGTCTTTTTCTCTGTGCGAAGGTGCGCTTGATGAAGAATTCAGTTCACGAACAGAAACGCACGCACTGTAAAGTGCATTACCAAGAGTAAAGTAGCCAGACATGCGACAGTCATAAATACTGCCGGTAACACACAGGGGAGATGTGTAACGGACGCCTCGCAGATGCAACCGGGGGAAATAATGGTTTTGTGTTTTGATGAAAATAAAGTTAACTTTGGCCGGCCGCATATCATTAGTAGAATGACAATTGAATAAAAAATGATGGTGAAACATGAAACTAATTTGACGTTGATGGTTTAATGCAAAATATGAAAATATGCACATATACTGTATACAGTAAGAATTTTATTGTTTTTTTAAAAGAAATCTCTTCTGCTCATCAAGGCTGCATTTCTTTGATAAAAAATACAGTAAAAACTGAAATATTGTTACACTGTAAAACAGCTGTTCTCTATGTGAATATCTGTTAAACTGTAATTTATTTCTGTGATGCGCAGCTGTATTTTCAGCATCATTACTCCAGTCTTCAGTGTCACATGATCTTCAGAAATCAGTATAATTATTCTGATTGGTGGAATTTTCTGCATAGCATCATGGGAAATGTCATTTTCACTATAAATTCTGCTGTTAAAGATGATTATTTTAAAAGTAAGTTGAAATAATGCAAACTGATGGGTTCAGCAAAAGCACATGCCACCACTGAACACTAATAATAAGCAGTATGTGGGCGATCTGACCTGTGTGACGGGGATGAAGAGCGGCTCCGGTGAGTTCAGAAGAGTCAGTTTGCCATGCGGCTGCAGGCGACCTTCAGCTTTGCTCTTATTGGCTGTTTTTTTCTCGCTCTCCGTCTCCTTCATCTCCTCCGTGTCGCTCAGACACTCGAAGAACTCCTCCTCGCTGTCACTCCACGAGTCCCAGGACTTCCCCGGAGAAACTTCAGCGGGCCCCGCGCTCTCGGGCCCCAGACGGCTCCTGTCTGACGCGCCGCTCTTCCCCCCATCATCCCTTGCTCTCTTGCGCTCGATGCAGCAGTTCAGCATCTGGAGGAGGTGCACAGTGAAAACACACGAACACTCAATAGTTTGGGGTCAGAAAGATTTCTGAAAGAGGTTCTTCTGCTCAGCAAGGCTGCATTTATTTGATCAAAAATACAGTAAAATTGTGAAATATTATTAGTTTAAAACAGCTGTTTTCTATGTGAATCTCTGTTAAACTGTAATGTATTTCTGTGATGCGCAGCTGTATTTTCAGCATCATTACTCCAGTCTTCAGTGTCACATGATCTTCAGAAATCATTCTAATATGCTGATTTGCTGCTCGAGAAACATTTCTGATTATTATCAATGTTGAAAACATTAATATTTTTGTGGAAACTGTGATGCATTTTATTTTTCAGGATTCACAGATGAACAGAAAGTTCAAAAGAACAGCATTTATTTGAAATATAAATCTTTTGTAACATTGTAAATGTCTTTACTTCACTTTTCATCAATTTAATGCATCCTTGATGGATAAAAGTAATTAGTATTAATTTCTTTTAAAAAATGACTGCAAACTTTGAACAGTAATATATAAACAATCATTTACTCTCCTATTGTTGTTTTCCTGTGTGACTTTCTTTCTTCTAAAACTGAATCACATTATTAATATAAAGTAAATTCTGATTTAATGTTGATTTTACTACGTTTAATGTGCCTGCTTTCAATGATTTGTAAAAATAAGTAAATCATGCTCATGAAAAAACTAAATATAACCTATATAACCTATGATAGTTAGATCAAAACTAGATGAGATTTATAAGAAATCTAACTGCTTAAAAACACCTTTAACACCTTTAGAACGCTGGAACTGAAGGTAAAGTGATGGTATTTGCACAAGCAAGTTGGTTTTACACGAGTATGGTGTGTGTTTGAGGCTGAACGCTGCTGGTGCTGTCGTGATCGTGTGTAAGCGTGAGGAGCTTCACCTGCAGCTTCTGATGAAGAAGACAACACCTGAGATCCGGAGCTCCGCAGGCCAGCCTGAGAGAGCAACACACAGCTTTACTCATTAGCACACAATGACACGAGCAGGGGCGGACTTACCCATTAGGCAAAGGTAGGCGACCGCCTTGGGCCCCCAAAG